TTATCTAGATTTAATCTGCTATCTGTGGGCCCCATGGGGAAGCTGAGGATTCAAAATGAACAAGGCACTCTCAACCTTTAGGGAGCTCAGTCTAGTAGAGCACTGATTCTCAACCTTGAATGGGCTTACGATCGCCTGGGAATCTTGTTAAAATACAAATTCTGATACTACAAGTCTGAGGTAGGACCTGATACTCTGCATTTCTAACAAGCTCCCTGGTGACGCTGATAAAGCTGGTTCAAGATGTAGAGGATTTTACAAACTAGTGGAGTAGCAGGAGACAAAGTCCAGGCTAATTGGCAAATTGAGGTGGTCTCCGCCCCTCCTTGCTCGCTGACGTTCCCTCCCAGGAGTCCGCCACGTGACAGTTGGACCGCAGGCTAAGCGCCATGGCTCCGGAGAAGCTCTCGCGTCCCTCCCTGCTGCTGCTGCTCCCGACGCTGCTGCTGCTGCCCCCCCAGGTGAGATAAGGCCAGATCACATCTGGCGTAGGAGACAAGTGAAAATAACAAAACGCTCGGCAAACCTAGTTCCATCTCTTCTGCCCTTCTGGACGCGGACACTCCTTCCCTCCCCTCCTCCAGGCCTCTGCTGAGCATGGTCTCTCGCTTTGTAGGTAGACACTCGGTCGTTCGTAGTGGATCGGGAACATGATAGATTCCTCCTGGACGGGACCCCGTTCCGCTACGTGTCTGGCAGCCTGCACTACTTTCGAGTACCTCGGGTGCTTTGGGCAGACCGGCTTTACAAGATGCAAAGGAGTGGCCTCAATGCCATACAGTTGTAAGCAGGGCTCAGGAGAGCCGTGGAGGGGTGGGATTTACTCTTCCTACCACCCAATTAAGAAAGAGGGTCGGGACTGGAAGACTGGCTGGGTATGTTGAGGAGTTAGAGCTCCAGGGCTTCCAGGCCAAGGGTGGGCCAGAACCCTCCTTCCAGAAGCTTCCTGGAGATTCCTAGCTAGGCCAGGAGCCCTTATGCCTCCCAGGCATCTCCCCATGCACGCCTTGGGCCCTGTTAACCTCTTCCTTTCTCAGTTATGTGCCCTGGAACTACCATGAGCCAGAGCCTGGGGTCTATAACTTTAATGGCAGCCGGGATCTCTTTGCATTTCTGCATGAGGCATCTATAGCGAACCTGTTGGTCATACTGAGGCCAGGACCTTACATCTGTGCAGAGTGGGACATGGTGAGTTAGTCGAAGGGATAGAACCAAAGCCACCCATGTGGGGCTCCTAGGCTACTCCCTTCTGCCCATATTCTAGGGCCACTTCCATCACGATACTTAATTTCTTCTCAGACAACAAAGCCCACATGCTTCTTTGTTGTTTTTATGTTTGTCTCAGGGGGGTCTCCCAGCCTGGTTGCTTCGTAAACCTAATATTCATCTGAGAACTTCAGATCCAGGTGAGTTGAGACAAATAATTTAACAAAGAAAAAAGCAAACAATGACAAAATGGGTCATTTGGGTGCCCAAAACAGAAGAGAATATCCCCAAATTGGAGATTATTCATTCAAATATATATTGAATGTTTTCTTTATGCCCAGCAGGATGCTAGAAACTGGGGAACCAGACACACCCAATCCCTGTGCAATGGAGCTTACAATATAGTGGAAGAAACCAATTTTTTAAGAAACCAAAAACCTGTAATATGATTGCAAGTTGTAAAAATACCACACAAGAAAATAGACAAGGAGTTGTGACAGTGAATAATAAAGAGGACCTCTTTTAGGCCGGGAGGTCAGGAAATGCTTTTCTAGAAAAAGACATTCAGTTGGCTCTAGGGAAGGATACGTTCTGGTTATATGAAGAGTGAGGTGAGAAGGACCAGGTAAAGGGGGTGGTATATTCTAAGACCCTGAGATGAGAAACAACCTGGCATAGTTACGGCCAGCATGGCTGAGCATAGTGGGTAAGGGAGAGAGTGGTATCGTGTGAAATTGGAGATAGGGACTATTGATGCAGGCCCTTGTAGACCCTTGTAAGGGGTTTGCATTTTGTTCTTAGCATAGTGGAAAGTCATTGAAAGAGTTTAACCAGAGATGTAATGATAAGGTTTGTTTTCAACTGCTTTAGCCTGGATGTAGAAAATGGATTGAGGGGAGTAAGGGTGACGGTGGAGAAACCAATTGGGAGACTAAGCCTGTAGTTGAAGAGATGGTGGCTCTTGGACTAAGGTGATGGTGGTAGAAATGGAAAGAGCAGAACTGAAATACAGGTTAGAGATAAAATCACCAGGTCTTATTGATAGATTTTGAAGGAAAGGGTAGGGGTGGGGGAAGTGTGAGTACCCAGTCAGGATGGTGGTGCCATCTACTGACAGGGAGAAGATAGAGAAGATCAGCAGTAGGAAAGGAACAACTTTTTGGGAGAAAATAGTTCAATTTTTATCACTTCATACTCAACTGAGGATATTAAGTAAGCAGTAGGATATGTGAGTATGGAGCTTAGGGGGAGGTCTGAGTTAAATATATAAATTTGGTCTCATCAGTCTAAAGATGGCACTTAAATTCATGGGTACTAAGACATAACCTGGGGAAAGAGTGTAGAGAAAGAAAAGATAACTCAAGAGTAAGTTCTGAGATGCCCAGTATTTCAAGGAGTTTGGATTTCATTTCAGGTGCAAATAGGGTCATTAGAGCAAGGGGATACTTTTATCTGATTTATGTCTTTTAAAAAGATCACTCTGGCCTGGCTGGTGTAGCTCAGTTGGTTGAGCATCGTCCCATGCGCCAAGAGGTCAAGGGTTTGATTCCCAGTCTGGGCACATGCCTGGGTTTTGGGCTCTATCCCCAGTTAGGGGGCATGCAGGAGGCAGCTGATCAATGTTTCTCTCTCTCATGGATGTTTCTCTCTCTCCTTTCCTCTCTTTCTAAAATAAATTAAAAACCATATTTTTAAAAAAATGATCACTCTGGCAAATGCTTTTTACCCGCTGAGGAGTTTCCAGGTGCTGTTCCACTTCTTAGGGTACTAGAGAGTTTTATGCCCCTTACGGCATTCCTCAAACTCAGCTGACTATGAAAAACATTTAAAATGATAAAGTATTGCCCTAGCCAGTTTGGTTCAGTGGTTAGAGTGTCGACGCACAGACTGAAGGGTCCCAGGTTCAATTTTGGCCAAGGGCATGTACCTTGTTGCAAGCTAGATCCCTGGCCCCAGTTGGGGTGTGTGCGAGAGGCAACCAATTGGTGTGTGTCTCTCACATCAATGTTTCTCTCCCTCCTTTCCACTCTCTGAAAAGCAATGGAAAAAATATCCTTGGGTAAGGATTAAAAAAAATAAGAAGAAAAAAATAAAATAAAATGATAAAGTATTGCTAGAACACCAACATGCAATCTCTCTCTTTTTTTTTTTTTTTAATGGTTAAGATGGTGAATCTTATCTGTAGTCTCTCACTTCATTTTTTTTTTTATAAAGATTTTTTATTGATTTTTATAGAGAGAGGAAGGGAGAGGGAGAGAGAGAAAAAAACATCGATGTGAGAGTGAAACATTGATCAGCTGCTTTCTGTGCCTACCAGGGATCCAGCCCGCAACACAGGCCTGTGCCCTGACCAGAAATTGAGCCAGCAACCTTTCAGTGCACAAGATGATGCCCAACCAACTGAGCCACACCAGCCAGGGCTGCAATCTCTATTTTTCTCAAGAATACCAGTAACCTCTTTATTGTTAACTCCATGATGATTTCTCAGGCCTCATCCTCCTTGACCAATCAGCAGCATTCAACACAGTTGATCACTTTCCTTTGAAATACATTTTTCTCTCAGCTTCCATGATACTATTCTTCTCTGGCCTTTGCCCCTCTCCCCACAATCTTTCTGACCACTCCTTAGTCTCTGGCTGGTTCTTCTCCATTTCCTTTGCTGCTAAATGCTTGAGTGTTTCAGATCTCAGTCCTTGGATGCTTCTTTTCTATGTTCATGCCTGGGATGGTCTCATCCATTTGCCTGGCATTAAATTCCATCTAATAGCTAGTGACTCTGAAATATGTTATTTCCAGGACCTTCCTTTGACCTCCAAATACATATATCCAATTGCCTACTTGACTTCTGCATTTGGAGATCTAAAAGTGGTAATGATACAACTAAGCTCTTGGTATTGCCTCCCAAACCAGCTATTCCTACAATCTCCCCATCTCAGTTAATGGCAACTCTATTTTCCAACTGATCAAACTAAACACTATGATATAGTTATTCATGTCTTTCTCTTGTACCCCACATTCAATCCATCAGAAAATTTTGTCAGCTTTACCCTCAAAATATATTGAATTCAACTACTTTTCATCACCTCCACTGCCACCACCCTGGTCCAAACCACCTATCTCAGCTGGATTATTTTAATAGCTTCCTAACTGGTTTCCCTTCTTTGCCCTTCCCCCATGCAGTCTATTCTCAATACAATGGCCAGTGTGATCCTGTTAAAATGTTTAAATACATATCAGATCATGTCATTTCTCTGCTTAAACCTCTCCAGTAGGTTCTCATCTCACTCAGAATATGAACCATAGCTTCCTTAAAATGGTCTACTAGTTCCTACTTCATTGGCTCAGTCACCTTCCTGACATCTACTCTTATTGTTTCCATTGGCCTCGTTGCTGTTCTTCAAACCCACCAGGGCTTCTTGCAGAATCACCTTCAGTGAGGCCTTCCCTGTGCCAGCCTCTAAAATTTAAGCCCCCCACCCCACCATTTTATATCTTCCTTCCCTGCTTTATTTTTTCTCCTTGGCATTAACTCACTATATATTTTACCTATTTAATTTATTATCTGCTTCCTTTACTGGAAAGGAAATTCCACAAAGGCAGAGATTTTTCTCTATTTCATTCAATATCCCTAACACCTAGAAGAGTGCTTGGTGCTGAGTCACCACCCATAATTATTTGTTCAATGAGATTTAATGTATGCTTGGATTAAAGAAGGCAATAAAAGCTGTACCTCCTTTATACAGAACACAAAATATAAAGGAATTAAATCTTTTAAGAATACAAAAAAATCCTCCAAAATATCTTTCATCAAATCCACCTCTAAGAGTCTGCTATCTCCTAGGCATTGTCCTCAAAGATAGGGACCGAGCAGATGAACCTGACAAAGTTCCTGCTCACTAGTGGGAGACACCAACAGGAAACAATTACAGAAATAAATGCTTAATTATAACTGGTTACATGCTTGAAAGAGAAGTATGAGGTGCTATGAGAGTGTATAATGGGGATCTACCCTAATCTGGGATATCATAGGCTTTCTTGAGGAAGTGAAATATAAGTTGAGACCTGAGGACTGAGTTGGAGTTAGCCAGGTAAAGGAGGGTGGGGAGAAAGTGTCAGGCAAAGGTAATAACCTGCATGAGGACCATGAGGATGAATCAACAAGAATCACAAGTAGGAGTTAAGAACTGAAGGCATGAAACCTAATGGAATGAATGTTCTTTCGATTGATGACTTAAATCACCTGGACTGTCCGTTGGTCATATCAAGGTACGGTCAGGCATTCCACATTTCTGTGAACTCACATGCTAGTTCATAGCAATCTCAAGTGTACATTGATTACATAATAATAGCTCCATGAGGTGTGTTTAACCTTTTTCTTATATTTAAAAAATAAACTTACAAGAAACATTGCTTTAAGGTTTCCTGTGTTCAAATTTCATTGCCATGCAAATATACAAATTCTTAGGGTTGAGAGCTTCTTATAAGTTACTGCTTCCCACATTTAGTTGTGGACAAGTGGGATGCAAACTGTGGCCCAGAGTTCAGGCAGCACTGAAGTTACTAGCAGTGATGCTAGGGGTGGAGATTGTGGAGGTGGTGGTGCCCTAATGAGCAGAGCACTGCTCCTTCCTTTAGACTTCCTTGCTGCAGTGGACTCCTGGTTCCAGGTCTTGCTGCCCAAGATATATCCATGGCTCTACCACAATGGGGGCAACATCATTAGCATTCAGGTACAAGTGAAAAGTTGACTGGGCAAGGGGAGGGATGTGCCAGGGGTCCTTAACCTTCTCCACCTCATAGCTGAGCTCTACTTTTCCTTTCTCCTGGCAGGTGGAGAATGAATATGGTAGCTATAGGGCTTGCGACTTCAGCTACATGAGGCACCTGGCTGGGCTCTTCCGTGCACTACTAGGAGAGGAGATTTTGCTCTTTACCACAGATGGGCCTGAAGGACTTGAATGTGGCTCCCTGAAAGGAGTCTATACCACTGTAGATTTTGGCCCAGGTCTCCTGAGTAAGGGTTAGGAGCGGAGTCTGGGGAATGGGCACCTCTTCTGTGATGTTTATCTTTCACCTGTGCCTCCTTTCTGCAGCTGACAACATGACCAAAATCTTTGCCCTGCAAAGGAAGTATGAACCCCACGGGCCACTGGTGAGAAGCCAGATGGGAGGGCAATCAAGCCAAGAGTCAGGGTTGGGAATGGGTCGAGCTCGGTTCCCCATCTTGCTCATGGCTTCTTTCACTTCACACTAGGTGAACTCTGAGTACTACACAGGCTGGCTGGATTACTGGGGCCAGAATCACTCTACACGGTCCATTACAGATGTAACCAAAGGACTAGAGAACATGCTGAAGTTGGGAGCCAGTGTGAACATGTAACTGGAGACACTGGGGTCAACATGAATCTGTAACTGGGTGTGGGGATGAAAGTTAAGATTCCATGGGTCAGTTTGTGCCTTTCCCCCCACCTTCCCCCACTTCAGGTACATGTTTCATGGAGGTACCAACTTTGGGTACTGGAACGGTGAGTCCAGATGGTCCCTGGGGTGGAAGCAGAGAGGAAGCAAGGAATTAGAATCTGAGGGCTGGGTGGATTAGGGATCTAAAAGGAAGCTGGATATGGCCACCACTGCCCCACCTGATGGCAAAATTCTCTGCATGTGCCTAGATATATTGAATTAATTAAATTGCTTTGACCTCAGGTGCTGATGAGAAGGGACGCTTCCTTCCAATTACTACCAGCTATGACTACGATGCACCAATATCTGAAGCAGGGGACATCACACCTAAGCTTTTTGCTATTCGAAATGTCATCAGCCAGGTGCCCTACCACTTCATTAAGCGCCAAAGTCTTTTATTAATTTGGGGGAAGGGAGTGCCTAAATTGTTTGTAAAGGGTTCCCAGAAATCACTGGTGGTTTTCTGGGCCACAGAGCTCTGTGAGCATCCCATAGAAGCATTTTCCACTAACCCAAATGGGACTACCTGGGGAGATACAAGTATGTGCAAAATTACAGGATCTTCATGACCCCTGAAGCCCTTCCCTGGACTCCAGGTTAAGAACCCTGTGCTAGGGTCTTGGAATAGGGGTTGTGTGGTTTTTCTATGGCTACTGAGAAAATTTGGGCTCAGTTCCAGGAAATTCCCTTGGGACCTTTACCTCCCCCCAGCCCCAAGATGATGATCGGACCTTTCACCCTGCAGCTGGTAAGCTCCTCCCCATCTCTTCTGATTCTACCCTATTATCCCCTAAAAAGCCCTCTATTCTGTCCTGTCCTCTATTCTGAAACTTCCCTTTTATTCTGATACTGCTCCCTTATTCTAATAGGATGGATATTTGCTGGATTTCCTGCATTTACTGTGCCCTGAAGGGCCGATCCATTCAGTCTTACCAATGACCTTTGAGGCTGTCAAGCAGGTAAGGCATAATCCCACATCTGGTGGGTAAGGCAACCTTCCTTAACAGCCATAGCCAAAGGTTCCCTAAGCCCCGCATCTTCCCCACAGTATTATTTTTTATCTTAGTTTATCATATGTACTTATTCTTTCACACCCAGGACCATGGCTTTATGTTGTACCGGACCTATCTAACGTACGCTGTTTTTGAGCCAACACAATTCTGGGTGCCAAACAATGGAATACATGACCGCGCCTATGTGATGGTGGATGGGGTATGAACCTAATTCCCGGCTGCCTTGTGAGCCCCACTTTCCTCTCCTCCCAAGCACCCTTTAGCTTAAGATTCCTTACCTACCTTTTCCTACTGCCTACTCACATTTTCAGGGGATCCAGGGATAAGCTGGGATGAGAAAGAGTTTGATAAAGGGTAAGGTTCCAGCCAAGATGGGCTACATTCTCTTTGCCCTACAAGTATCCTAATGTGGCTTCCTGTTGGTGGCCAGGAGCTAGATGCTGAGCCCTGCCTGTCATAGACCCTCTTATCCACAGGTGTTTCAGGGTATTTTGGAACGAAACACGAAATACAAACTATTTTTGATGGGGAAAATAGGGGCCAAACTGGATGTCTTGCTGGAGAACATGGGGAGGCTCAGTTTTGGGTCTAACTACAGTGACTTCAAGGTGAGTAGCTTTGCCCATCCCCTCACACAAACAACTTTATTGGCCAAACTCCTTTGGGAAGATAGGGGCCTGATGGAAGATAGGCAAGAGCCATGTCCTTAGCAAAATAGTGGTTTGTGGGGATCTGGACATGGCTACTAGTTGCATCTCATGGCTTGATTAGGGGAAACTTCACCTTAGAGGTTACTGAATGATGAGTTTTCATTTGCCTTCTTCATAGGGCCTATTGCAGGCACCAGTTCTGGGGCAAACAATCCTCACCCAATGGCTGATGTTCCCTCTGAAAGTTGATAAACTTGTAAAGTGGTGGTTTCCCCTCCAATTGCTGAAAAGGTCACATACTCAAATTCCCTCTGGCCCCACCTTCTACTCCACAACGTTTACAATTTTAGACTCAGCTGGAGACACATTTTTATATCTACCTGGATGGACCAAGGTATTGCTGATGGTGGTGATCGGGGGTGGGGGGAATAAGACAGGAAAATCATGGAAGAAGGGCAAGCAGAAATTACTCCTCTGATTAGAAACCCAAAAGAGGATGATTCTACCCCCTTGAGAACTGATCATTTATTTTCCTCTCTCCTCCCTCCACAACAGGGCCAAGTCTGGATCAATGGGTTTAACTTGGGCCGGTACTGGACAAAGAGAGGGCCACAACACACCCTCTACGTGCCAAGACTCCTGCTGTTTCCTAAGGGAATTCTCAACAAAATCACAGTGCTTGAGCTAGAAAATGTTCCTCCCCAACCCCAGATCCAGTTTCTGAATAGTCCTATCCTCAATAGCACCTTGCATAAGACATATATCTATTCCCTCTCAGCTGATACACAAAGTGACTCTGAACCAATGGAGTTAAGTGGGCACTGAAAGAAAGATAACCCTTGGACCTGGACATGGAGTGGGCAGGATCCCTTGGTGCTGGCCACAGTGACCACAAAGAATCAAAGGCCACAAGGCCACAACAACTGTACAAGTGCAGTTTCCTTGCCAAACTTTATTGTGATTAAAGTTCCAGAGACAGTACCAGCTCCACACACCTCTTTGGCCCTGTCTTTACCTGGGTTCCTGAGTGTCTCTCACCCCAATCTTCCAAATACTCTGGTTTCTCGGGGAAGAAGAAACCTAGGACCAGTGTAAATGTGCCCTCTCAGGGTCTAGCATTGGCCCTAGGTGGAGCTGTGAGAGATCAGGAAGAGGGTTTCCTGGCCCGACAGCGATGATCCTGGAGGCAGCGTGTGGAGCAGAAAGAGAAGTCAAGGTAGTGAAAGGGAATGAGGCCTTGGAGGGATGTCCCACAACTCCAGCAGCGTCTGAACAGAGGAAGAAAACATGGATGGACAGGTACCCCAGAAACTTTCCAATCCTAGTTCTCCCTTTCCCTCCTCCTGCCATTTGTTTCTACTCCAAAGGTTCAAAGAACTTCTCACATCCCCTCAGGAGCCTTTCTATGTAGGTGCTCATTCTACTTGCCCAAACATTACAGTCCACCCATCATCACTCCTACCCCCCTCCACATACCGAGCATTGATGATTGCAGAGTCAGGGGTCTGAGGGGTAGGGGCTCCCAACTGGGCAGCTAGTCGGCGCTCTGCAGCCAGAGCTCTCTGAGGGGAAGAAAAGTTGTGTTAAGGACAAGGCCCCAGTAGTGGATAGGGTGCCCAAGAAGTGGCAGCTGCACACTGGGAAGGAATTAGACCTCTAAGGGAGTCTTGCTGTGGAAGAGAAAACCTCCAGCCTCACCTTCTCTCTGTCGCTGAGAGCGGCAAATCGCCGCTGCTCTTCTTGCTCCTGCTTCTCCTGCTCCCACTGCTTCCGCTGCTGTTCCTCCCGTTGCCGCCGGGCTGCCTTCTGCTCCTTTTTGCGCATAGTCTTCCGTGCCTCCATTTCTGATGTCAATGGCGCTGGCACCTGGAGGATTTCCAGGAATGTGTGAGGTAAGACCTATACAAACTATCCTTGGTAAAACTGTAAGCAAGTAGAAGAGATCTAGCCAGGACCTATGATGCCTTCCCACTCTGCTGCTGCTTCCTTTCCCAGCTGACCTGAGCCTTGCTGTAATCATAAGCCTCTGGATTCTTCTCCATGAACCTTCGGAATTCATTACGTGTTGATTTGTCAGCTGAAACTGTATATGGTGGCCGGGTCCGGGAGTCCCTAGGTGTGAAAACCCCCAAAATGGGTTCAACTTGCCTCTTGCATCTCCTAACACAACTTAACCAGACCAAGGGAAATACTATCAAGTAGCCAATGCCAACATTAGCCTTCAAGATCATCCTCTCTATACCCTAAAGGGCTCAGCATGGGGACCCTTACTTACTGGATGGTGGGGTCAGCACCTGCCTCCAGCAGCAAGCGAACCACTGAGCCTCTCCCAGCGGCAGCTGCTGCATGTAGGAGGGTGAAGCCACTGGAGCCCAAGGGGGCATTGAGCAGAGAGAGAACTTCAGGGTCTATGGGACTGGCAGCTAGCTGGATTTTCAGCATCCCAACATCTCCAGCTCGGCAAGCAGCAAGAAGCATGTCCCAGAGCTCCGATTGACCAGGGACCTTGGCCTCATCCAGGGAAGGCTCCAAAGGGGCTGTATGTGCCCTGGATGACTGTGAGGCCTTGTCTTCTTGAGGTTGCTGGGGAAGAGCCGCATGTGCTCCAGCCTCCAGGTCTCGGCTTTTCTCCCTTTTACTCCTTCTTCTCCTCCTCCGCTTGGGCAATACTTCAAACTCACGAAGATCCAGAGTCCCCATTGTCAACTCTACTAGCTCCAACTCTACCTGGAAGCCATCCTCTTCCTCTGACCCTGAACCTAGGGAAAAACCTGACATGTTAGGTCCATCTAAAGAATAAGCAGAGGGTGGAAGGATGTGGGCTGCCCCAGATGCATAAGAATATACATAAAGATATAATCCAGGTCATCTTGAAATAAAATTGTATTGTCACTCAAGATAAAGTAGCACATTTAGAGCTGAATCCACTAGTATCACATGCAGAAATGAGGCTTTCGCCCTGGACAAGGACATACCCAGAAGGAACTAGGCAGGGACAAAGACTCTCCCCTGAGCAGCCTTAGCAGGATAGTGCGCACAGAAGCAAGCATAGGAGATATGACAGCTATGAAGGCCAAGAGTCTGCAGCCAGGGAAGCAGCCCTTAGCACCCGATAAGACAGGTAAATTCTGTGAATTCATGCAACACATTTAAGCATCTACTTCATGCTAAGACTTTTCTGAGTACTAGGGATAGAGCAATGAACAGAAGCGGTAACATTTGGAAAGGTCACTAAACATGTCTCAGCAATTGCTACCACATACCCTATATTATAAACAGACCTGTGTGTGTGTTGTATAAGGGCTCATCTATTAATAGGAAAGTGAGTAGGGAATTTGCTACTGCATTTCCAGGACACCCAGATAGAGATTTGACAGTTGATAGATGGTGCTCAAACCCTGTTTGGGAGAGTCCTCATTCTGCCCTAGTGCCCCATTTTCATCACTGGGGACCTTTCTTTCTTCCTTGATAGCCTTCTTCGTCTCTCTCATTGTCTTCCAGTAAGACTGAGGTGAGTCCAACCTGACTGTCTCCCGGGGGTCTTCTCCTGCCATAAAACAAAAGATGTTGCTCAAATTTAGCTGAGGAGAAGCCAGCCCAGGTTTTTCAATGAAGATGTAACTGGGCTGCAGTCCAAGGACTAGAAAATCATCTGGATGCACAAATGAGAACCTGAGGTTTGGGTTAGAAGGTACAGGAAGGTCTAGGGAGTCTGGGGATCAGAATCGAAGGCTCACCATGGATATGCAAGGTGGTTAGCTTATGGAACACACGCTGTAGCTCTTTGAAGGTGGGTCTGTGGGTGGCAAGGGGGATATTCCAAAGTCGGGGATCCCTCCGTTGCAGGGGTGCCCCTTGGCCTCCGAAGAACAAGGACCGACCAGAGCGGGGGTCACGCAGCAGTATTGTCCCAGCCTCCCCCAGCGCCTTAGCCCAGCCTGGCTCTGCCAGCAGGTCACGAACATCCTAGAAAAGAGAGTAACTCAGCCCTGTATATCTTCACTTGTTATTTTTAAATCTCCAGCCAAAAAGTGGTCCCATGTATAGGGAGTGAAAGGTAGAAATTAACACAGAGGGTGGGAGAAAGAGAAGACTAAGATTCCTGGGGATCCATCCTATTCTACCTTTGTCTACCCAGAAATAATGAAGACTGGAAGATAAAGGAGTGAACCTCTTTACTGTAACATTTAATGAGTTGAGGGGGAAATGTGCATTAGTGGACCATGAGATTTGAGATGCCTAACTTACCTTATATAGTGCGGCTTCATTGTAGCGCCTCAGGTTGGCTCCAGCAGAGCGAGAAGCCCCACCCCGGGCATCATGAAGTCCCTGGGCTGTGCCACGCTTGGCCCGTACTGTGTAGCGGTGAAAGGTTTTGTGTGTCACCACTTCTCTTCTGTAGATGACACAGACTCAGTACTGGAAACCTGGTACTCACAGTTGAACAGGATCCATCCCATCCTTAAGCCCACACAGCACCATCTCACCCTTGGAAAATGGCACCAGCAAAGTGCCCAGCTGTAGCCATGAGTACCACGCAGTGTCTAGGACCTCCACTTTGCAGGTTTTGTAGCAGCAGTTCTGGGTCTTCTGGGAGCACCTTGACAGAGGAGCAGCACAAATGTATCTGTTACATTCAATGATAGTAAGATACCAAGTGCAGGTGTTAACTGCTTCACATGTATTCTCATTTAATATAACGACCCTGAGGCTTGTATCCACTTTACAAATAAGGAAATGTGAGGCTTATAGAGGTAGTCAAGATCAAGTGGTAGAACTATAATCGAAACCTAGATTGGTCTGATTCCAAACTTAAATCCATTACATTTGACCCAAGATTCAGGCCAGTTCAATCCAACACTGTGCCATCAAGCCTGATACCCACACCCAACAGGAAGGAAGGGAAGTGAGAAATGGACTGGGCTAAGTGGAAATCTAGGCTGAACGTACAAAAGGGCAGCGCTAACCACACAACTTGTGTGCCATCACTTGCCTGGTGAGGGCCTAGGACACAACGATAGGCATAAAGAAATTGGCCCTGGGCATTCTGGAAAAGAACCCGATGAGAGCAGGAGCTTCGGGGTATGTTAGACTTCTCAAATTCAGCCCTCTCCTCATCCAGTATCTGTAAGTCCTCCTCACTGGCTGAGTCGGAGTCTTCTGATCCTGAGATGCTGGAAAGATCTCCTGAAACATGAGATATACAAGTTTGATGCCTCATCTTTGAACTTCCCTCATGCTCCTAAATGAGGGCCTTCCTCCACCCCCATGTCCTACTCCCACAAAGGTCTCCCACCAGTCATCACCTGCAGAGCTCTGCTTTTCAAAGTCCAGGGCAGACAGGAGAGGCTTGTCCTTGAGACGCTGCTTTAGGTTAAACCGATGCCAGTCAAGCTTATAATGTTCTCTCTGGTAGGAGACAATGAGGGAAGCAGAATGTGGAAATATGCCCCAGCCTGGCCTCCTATGGTACCCAAGACCAGTAACAGAACTCCAGGAAGTATGACTGGATAATACCAACTGCCTTACTCAAAACGTGAACCTTTTACTCATTAAACACAAATCAAATGTCTACCTCTCCTCACCCACTATTCTACTTTTGTATCCACCAGTTAGTTCTGCACCTGGTTTTACCTGTTCCTGGTGGTTCTGGAAGGTCTGGTCACAGGTTGAACAAAATAACTTCCCTGAAATATCCAGAGGACCCTGGAGTAGTTTTCTTTCTGGGTTTGTTCTCTCCCCTGAACCTAAATAAGGGAGGGGGTAGTTAGGGGTAGAAAGGGAACACAAATCCATAGTACCTGTAATTATATTCAATGCTTGATATATAAAGCAGAGGATACAAAAGAGAGATGGCATAGCCTTGCTTTCATGAAATAAATGGCACAGTAATCACTTTATACAAAAAAGATGCTTCTGAAAAAACATATGTAAAATGACTGTAAGTCAAACATTGGACTTAAATTAACCAAAGGGGTTTAGAGGAATCTTGCAGAAAATATGTTAGTAAGGTTAAAATTATTTTTAACTGTGCAAAAACCACTTCCTGAATGCCAATTTTTTAGCTTACATTTCCAATTACAGTGTGGAATTTGTTTTTAAAAATATTCAAGAAAAACATAGCCAAACACAAATTAGAGTTGTACATAACCAAATATTACATTGTTATATATTCAGCATGAAGGAATGATTTGATTGGAATCCAGTTAAATTTGTACTGTACCTGGGAATTTAGAAAAAAGATCTGGGAATTTTAAAGGGTATTTGTAAGCAGTGATGTTAATAAGACATAAGCAATGTGAAGAGACTTGCTTGGAGATAATTCAGGGGCCTTTGTTAGAAACAAAGACTGAGTGGATTTAAGATAAATTTTATCCCGGGGAAAGAGAAGTCAACAAGGGCTCCTAAACTGGGAAATACCAATAAGAATGTGTTCTCTGGAGGAGCAATAAGCTGCAAAGAGCCCTGTCATGTTCTTCATGGGTCCACCCCAAATCTTCCCGGATACCTGGAGAGGAGGTCCGCAGTGCCTGGGCCGGAGTCTCCCCGGGATGGCGTCTCACTAGGCTCAGGCCCCGAAGGACCGGAGCATCCACGCTGAGATCAAACAGGGAGACCGACGTAGGAGCCTGAGCCGCAGCTGGAGCCGGAGACATGGCTGAGCAGAAAAGACGGGGGGAAAGCAGAGCCCTTCCCAAGCGAGATCCGACTGCCGCGTCTCCGGCCCGCCAGACTTGGTCTCCGCCGCGCCGCAAGGCACCTCGGCCCTCACCCAGGTGCCAGGAGTCAAGCTTCGGGGTTAATACGTGACCTCAGCCCGCTTTCTCATACCCCCAGTCTCGGACCACACAAAAGTGAAATGGGGGAGCATCCAGCTTTCAAATCGAGTCCAACAGTTAAAATCACTGAGGATCCCAAAGCAACCGCTTGTCGTTACCCGTGCGATGAGTTCCAGCAATAACTAAGCCGCGTAGATTCCTCCCCGCCGCCGAAGTTGCACCACAGGCCCGCAGCTGCTGAGGCTTAGGGCTCGTAAGTCCACAGTTCCAAACCTGGGTTTCCGCCCCACCGCAGCATCTCGTCACTACGGGGCAGCGCAGAGGACAAACAGCAGCGCCCACACCTAAGCCCCGCCCCACGTATAGAGCCCTATTGGTCCTCTAACAGTTCAAGACCCGCCTCGAGCCTTTAGTCCCGCCCCGAAGCCAAAAATTGGCCGTCGTGTCTCCACCCCCCATGCTCATTGGTCAGGCTGGCCGCTGGTGACAGTGAGTGGCAGACTCCGGGCCTAGCTCTCTGGGTCGGGCCGAGTCCAACGGAGCCTTGGGAGCCCCTGAAATCACCGGGGTCACGGTTCCTGAGGTGAAACGCGAGACGGGTTACTGGTATCTCAGGGCCTGGACCAGACCTGGCCGAAGGTGCCCGCGGAGACCTAAGTGAGCTCGCGGCGGGTAACGGGGAACGGAGGAAGGGGCGCCGCGGGCGGGGCGGAGGCGCGCAGCCGGAATGTTTTGATAGCAAGGGGC